TTTTATGAAGATTCATGGTGGCTTCGGTTCACGGCACCATAAAATGTAAGGACGTGATGGTGAGTAAAACTAGACTTTGTGTACGGTCCGTTTCCTTTATTCAAACTCAATGTTTACATAGGAAGTGACGTCACGTTAATAACAATTAAACAAAGATTTCGTTAAGTGCCGTCGCGCCAAATCTGCAACAGTCTTTCTCTATTTGAAAGACTGTTGTGGGTTGATTGACTGATATATAGACGCTGCTCCAAACAAACATGTTGGTGGTTTAGACCCGTTTTGTGTGGGGGAGTAGCTTTAAAGTAGAATTATCGGTTTTGTACAAATAATAAACATTTGATTGATATGTGTGTGAGTTTCGATGTTATATATGTAAAGGGAGGTAATAAAAATGTGTAAAAATAGCATCTTGATTTTTTAGTTTAAATATTTTTAGCATATTTTTTGTGCTTTTGAATTTCTGATATAATATTATTTGTGGTTCTTTGATAAAAGCCAACATTATTATTGTTTTCAGTCAGTATATATATACTCCGTAACATTTGCATGTAAATAAATTATGACCAAAATTAGACCTTAAAGGGCATCACTGGTGTACTCGACAGCAAAAGCTGTAGTATATTTTATATAATAATATTTATAACTGAAATAAAAGACGGTTCTTATAATGGATCTCCTCCTTTTTAAAATATATTTTTGATAACTCAAAATTTTAACTAGTAATACTTAACACAAATTTGCATTCGGGTGTATACTGCCACACCTAAAGGGCAAATGTTCGGCGTAGACCAACGCTATGATAATTCATTGGGACTTGTAAGACATGTATACATGTACTACTATAAAAATAGGTGTACATTTAGATTGTGTTAAATCTGCACACCAGCTAAACCCACTAGGCAAAGACATTTTTAAATATCATTGGAATTATTTTTGGAGCTCTTCTTCTTTGTAATGATAATAGCCGAATAAGTGAGGATCTGGTCATTGTTACTTTATGAAAACACATGACAAAAACTTTTCCTATCAGTGTGACCCCTGGGGTAGGGCCAATATTAAAAATATGTTCTTATTAGCTCCCTTTAATTAAAGGTTTTAAACTGCAATCTTTCAAAAATGCAGTTGTAGTCATGGAATAAACTTTTTTAAACTTTTTATATTGGATTTTCTTCCTTTGTTACATATTTTTTTATTAAATATAATGTTAATGATTAAGTGTGTTCATAATGGCCTTGTTATTGGGTTGGAGACTGTCATATTAACTTAAGACCAAAGCCCAAAGGCTAATATGACAGTCTAAAAATCTGGAAACAAAGTGATCCTTCAGAAGCATTAATCACAACAAAATTACATAAGAATGCAGACTCGGTTTGATTGAGTCTTCACATGAGGGATAATGAATAAGTGCAACATCTCTCACACCTTCTACCACCGACTACAGCGGTACTCAATTCTAAACACTTAATAGTGCTTGTATCAATGATCCCGAATGACCAGAAAAATATAACAACACTGAAGTGAAGTACGGGGCAACTTTTACGGCTGCCACACAGCACTTGACACCTGCTGTTGTGAAGTATAAAAATCTGGAAACAAAGTGATCCCTCGGAAGCATTAATCACAACAAAATTACATAAGAATGGCAGCCTAATAATAAGGCTATTATAAAAACACTTAATTATTGACAATTTTATAAATTAACTACACAAAATCTAAAAAAAAGATAAGTACTTAGTGAACACAAAAAACTAATGTGAATTTCCGTTGTTGTTTAGTATAGCAAATGTGATTCTTTTTTTAAAAAAAATGTCTCGGAAACCTACCTTGCAGCAATTCAAAATGGCGATTTTTCCAATGAAAAAAAGCAGACTCATAATGGTTGAGCAGGAGAGCCAATACCAATTCTCCAATCTCATAATAGCCGAGTTTTCTCATAAAGTCCGTACTTTTTTGCATAATATGGCCTTGTTTTAAGTACAAAATGTCGTGTTGAACTTCTTATTAGCAAATCACGATCACCAATACAGACAAGTTGTAAGGAGTGTGTGCTTTTTGTCAAGTGTTTATATATATATGTCTTTTATTCAGTTTTTCGCCATATAAACAGTACATATTTCTTTGTCCAATCAATCAATGGTAAGGTTACAATATGGAGAATTTTATTTTTATGATATATTGAAGCCTTACCTTACCTTACCTAGCCTACCCTACTTTACTTTACTTTATTTTACTTTACTTTACTTACTTATATTGTAAATATTAGTTGAAGGCACATCTCTGTTTAATAATCTTATAATGAAAAGCCCGATTGGAGATATGTTATAATGTTTGTTAACACAAAAGTAGATTCAGAAAATGAAACGATTTAAAATCATGCATGACGCTCCTATATGACCGCGTATTTTCGGACTTCTGTTACGGAAATGTACGAAACATATGAGCGTCGGCAAGAAATAAAGCGCCGGGTATTTTGGTAAGCGAGGTTTTTATTGTGTATTAAGAATCAATTGTAGAAATAAATAAAGTATTTAAATCGATTGTTTATCTATTGATATCCATAAACTAACCTACTCACTAGCTCAAAATTATATAAACAAGATCAACAAGGTAAGGCGGCGATCAATGAACGCAGCCCCCACACGATCCAGCGACAAGAGCCAGTGGCAAGGAGCCCAAACAGGAGGATCTTAAAATACGGGCACATAGGACTTAGTGCCACTCGTGGAGGATAAAACCATTTAAAAGTATGTAAAATCCAGTTGTTTGCATGTGTGTTCGACCCGTTTTATCTCTTTGTTGATGTATTTCAAGCGTAAATACCAGGTTACAATGTACATGTCATGACGGTCTCATCTTTCGGACCTGGGTGATTTCTTACTTTCGGGCTTTATAACATTAACTAGCGGTTAATTGGGGATCTGTAAACAGTAAATTGTAATAGAAAAGTAGATTGTGCATTGATTCCATGCAAAAATCCGACGATATTACCGCCCGGTGAAATATTTTAACACAGATAACCGGCGTACCCATAATTTTCGTACCTGAAAGTTGCATACCTTGTCTATAAAAATATAACAGTGAAAAAAAAATTTTTTTTTTAATATATTGATGTTTTAGTGCATAAATAACAAGGTTAAACACATTTTAGGTCAAATCAATGCCACTTGCACCTTTGGTTCAGATCACAAAAACATATTCATAAACTGAGGAAGCCTCCGGAAGGTTTTATTTTAATTTAAACAAATAATTTTGAAATAAATCGTAAGTAAGTTTTATAGAGGTCTAATATGATATCGACTCGTTGAAACACATCGTAATAAGATTGAATATATATCTCCGTGGTTATATCGGCAAACTTTTGTTGTACATGTGACAGGCTAAAAATGGCCTCAGGGTGATCGTAGGGTAACTAGTAATCGACGCTTCATTGAGAAGTTGCAGCACTTTGAAATCAGTTTTGATGGGAAAAACAATGCAAAATAGTAATTTTTTGCAATTTTGAGACGCCCCCTTGTTACCATGATAACGGAAATTTACGATTAAGTATGCTGTTACAGAGGCTATGGTCTAGTCAACATTTCTGCCCAGTTTCATCAGTATTGAAGCATTTTTCATAGTTTCATAGCAGTTTGAACTTGAAACATGAGGCTTTTCAATGAAAACCATTTTTCACAATATGCTCATGGAGTTAAAGGTTAATTTAAAAAAATAAAAAATGTAAAAAAAACCAACAATTTTTCACATACATTAGTTGCACGTGTTTAAGATGGAAAAAACAGTTTTTTGGTAATTCCAAGGTTTTTCATCATTTTTTGTTAACCTTTTCCCTCATATAGACGTGTTTTGACGGCTTTTTGCACCCCCCCCCCCTTTGGAGGCCTCAAACAGTGACAAAATGCCCTATTTAGGCTCCATCGTAATAAGATTGAATATATCCCCGTGGTTATATCGCATATGTCTTTTTCCAAGGCGCAAGACCTGGTCACAACTTTGAATTTCTTTACCAAAACTTGGTCCGATAATTTTATTGTAACACAGCCGGTGATTGGCTGCAAAAAAGTGGGATTCTATGGGACATCATGTGATTGGATGAAATGGAAAAGTGTTGTCTTTAAGTATAAAAATCATTTAAGAAACTAACACAACATTGTTTTCTGATGAACTGTTTCATAAGTGTCTATGATAATTTTTTCATTAGGATATTTGCATTTCAAAAAGGTTTGTCAGTTCTGTGATCAGCAGTAAATTTGAGTGAAGGTGGAAAATGAGAATGTTTAATTATCTTTGAGGACATTTTGAGAAACATTTGGTCGGTCATTCCTATATAATGTCATAGGGTAGTAATCATTGAATAAATACTGGTTGTTGTTTTCAATCTTTAATCCTTAAACACAAATTTGGTCTCGTATTAAGTCAAACATATTTCTCTTCTCTACGTCAGTCAATCAATAACTTAAAGTCCCGTTATCCCATTATTATATTCCTATAGTAACATGTACTAACCGTTTAAAGTGTTTATACAAAGTAATATTTACGGGTACGGTACTGTATCATTGTATTCCGTCACATTCACTCACTTTGTGTAGACGCATTTATATATTACATATAATAATTTATCTATGATAATATTATATTGTTTTCAGGTTAGTGATGTTATTTCTTCCTAGTTTTTTTATGTGATTAAATTGTAATTGTTTTGTAAAATATTGTTATTAATAAAATGGTAATTCATCTTTGGAAATAAGTAGAATACAATACCCTAAATATTGATAGATCTGTATTGTATACATGTATGTCTTTTCTTGTTATTTGTTTACATGTTTAGGTTAAGGAAAACAGGAATGCATCATTGCATTCCGTCACTGTTCTTACTTTGTGTAGACGCATTACTTTAATATATAATAAATTATCTATGATAATATTATATTGTTTTCAGTTTTTTTTCACAAATTTGAACCCAAGGATCTACCAAATAATTTGTAAAAAGGGCCTGAGCTAGTTAATGACGGGCAAAGCAGCCCTACGGCAATAACAAGATCATTTTGATGTGTCAGGTATGTCATATCACTGGGCAAATCACATCTTAAGCATGTATTCTCAATTTGCAGGTATGTTTTATTATCATTTCTTATGGTACATTTACAAGGCTATAGTTTAAAAACAAGAGGCCATGATGGCTATGAATCGCTCACCAAAAACAACTGTGTTTCAGTGTTAGAAAAAAAAATCCATATGAACTTGCCAAAAGGAAAGTCTAGTTCAAGATGTTTAAAGATTTGTTCTTTTTATACCTAGTGGCCCCTAACAAGGGGCCAATCAAATTAATTTAAGCAATTTTAATAGAAAAAAAACCTCTAAGAATGCTACAGACAAAGTTTTGTGATCATCCATCCATCAATTACTTCAGTAAAAGATGTTTAAATGTGATTTTTTTCCATTATCAGATGTAGAGCCCACAAAAAGGGCCAATTAACATAATATGAGCAAATTTGATAAGCGACTACTTAAAAATGCTACACAGTTTGGTGATCATCCATTAATTAGTTACGTAAAAGAACATGTTTAAACGTTTTTTTTTTCTGTAAAGATCTGTTAACCCCTAAAAGAAAACTAATTGAATTGATATGAGCAAATTTAAATGTGACAGTCACAAGGATGCCACAGACCAAATTTGAAGCAAATTTTCCCACCAGCAGTAGCGGAGAAGATGAATGTTTACGCATGACGATGGACGTCGGAGTATCACCCTTTGATACTAATAGCTCAACATTACTTTTGGTTCTGGCCTTTCTCTTCCTGGTTTAAGTATAACTAAATAAATATTTCTCTATTACTTGCCGTAAAATCACATCTTGTTTATTGTCTGATCAGGAACTTGTTTAGCTGGTCGCTGTTGTGAGTTATGTGAGCAGTGCTATTCTCAGTTGTTTTTGTGACCAATAGGTCAATATATTTTTCAGTATCTCTCACATCAAATTCATTTACTTTAAGTCTATGTTAGTGTATAACATAAAAGTAATGATATTATATCATCAGGACTTCAACCATCAATATATACAAGTGAAGCCATTGTTCTCCATTAACCTATATTTCCAAAACTATGTCAAGAAACAAGAAACTATAAGTCAGTCAAGGCAAGTATCAACCATTATTTCACTTACTCTTTGACATCAACTATATCAGTCACAATAAAACCTATGTGGGGTTTGTGCGCCCAAAACTTTTAACACTTTCAAAAAAATGCCTTCTTTCAAGAAACTCTCCATTGTAATGAACTACTTCCCAAATTTTCCCGTAATGCTGATAAGCCATTAAACTGTTTCCATTTTCGACAAGTGGCTCGGTTTTATTTTCTTCATCGGCATCAGTAGACAAATCAGAACTGATTGTTTGTTGGATAGGTTGATTCTCGGTTGCCATGGATGTAGTGTCAAGGTCAGTTATATTGACAAGAAAAACTTTCATCGCATCTGTAAGAAAACGTGCATTATATTGTGTAAGAGTATTGTCTTTCATAACTCTGAAGGTTTCAGTTTTGGAAAAAAAGCTTATACAAAGTGATAGCTACAAAAACACAATTACATACATATTCTTTCAAAAATGAAAAAAGTAAATGAATGTTTATTAAACTTTCATGATAATCACTTGTCATATGTGGCTGAAACAATAAATGCACCAGTATATTTATTCTTTGGGATTCTTTACTGTACGATTTGATAAATATAAAGGATATATACAAATTTAATAAGATCGTTATAAAATATTCCTTAATTGATTTCAAATTAATATTAATTCTACGAATCAACTTTTATCAAATGTATGGGCCTCTGTTTTACATGAACGTAAAGTGAGTAAATTGTTGACATTAAGGATCTTAATTTCGTCTAATATTCATTAATTTATGTTAGGTAAGTTTTGTATTATTACAATTGTTGAATAAGATGTATGTATGTATGTATGTGTGTGTGTGTGTGTGTGTGTGTGTGTGCGTGTGCGTGTGCGTGTGCGTGTGTGCGTGTATGCGTGTATGCGTGTATGCGTGTATGTATGTATGTATGTATGTATGTATGTATGTATGAATGTATGTATGTATGTATGTATGTATGTATGTATTCTAGGCTTAATGAGGGTCCATCCGCCCTTTCAGGCACTGAGAGTACGGACCCAGGACATGTTACCATTCATGTCCTTAAATGTTTCTACTAACCAAAAGGTGACCGATAAATTATGAATTCAGTAATTCACTGATGATACTTAATATGTACGCAAGTCGATTTTAGTGATGATACAATTTTGATGCACGGGGGCCAATGAGACCATTATATGCAGCATGGAGAGAAAAAGAGATGATGAGATTGACTGACCGATACGATTCTGCAACTCTGACTGATAACTGATACATATTTTCCGTATGAACGATCATTCTTTCCGGGTATTTACAGTTTACAATTTTTATTGTATATGCTCGGTTCCACCACAATCCCTTACTTGCTATAATAATACAAATACCCCGTATATTCTTATATAATACTACTTTTAAGACATTTTAAACATTTAATTTGCAAAATCTCATGATTCTTTTGTGCAAAAGGTTGTGCTAATATACTAGACATCTGAGATTTCTATGCAGAAGTAAATTTAATAATATAGTTATGATCTTAATCTTAAATGGCTTAAAACAAATCATCTTTACATACACTCATCAAACGTCTGTTCTACATATTTGACTCAAATACTAAAAGATAATCGGTACCAGATATCTGAGACATCTATTCACTAGTTTGTTTTTATACATCTACTTTTATCCTTTTCCTGAAAATATCTTTTTCTCTGAAGGAGTGTTTTACAATTATAGGTAAAACATCTTTCATCATTCTATCAGATAACTTAGATTTCTAGTGTACTAGTCTATATTTGCAATTTCGCTTATTCTGTTGCACTGGCTTTTTAACTGAGTTAAAGTGAAGGCTCTTCCTCTCGCGGACATGGCATCAGTAATGCTTTTAATCAACAAAGTACTGGCAATTTACGTTTATGCAGTTTCTACAGAACATAGTCATATAGATGAATTTGAAGCTAAAATTAGTTCACTGAACAACGGTCATTTCGAATAAGTACGCGTCAAAACATTCAAAAAGGTCAAAGTAGGATTCGAAGTAAGACTCTTTTCCGCCGCCCAGTTAATCTTCTGTCGACCCCCTTGCGCATTTCAAAGAGGTATACCCGTCGAAAGGAAGAATGAGATGCGACTCTGTCTACTGCTGATTTTCATTTGTAAAGAAACATATTTGTGTCATACCGTGTTGAAGTCGATTTTTATTCAATTGATATTTATTTACAAACTATTATAGATATGCTTTATTCGAAGATTCTCAACGATAAACAAAGGAACCATTGTTTGTAAATGTGTATTTTTTAGTTAGGAAAAAGATAATGTTTTTTAGTGCGTTGTGATGAAATATTGCACCATATTGTTATAATTTAAATTTTATAATGTAAATTAATCAATAAGTGACGTAACTATAACCGTGAACTTTTATGTTCATGTCATTTCAACTGAATGTATATTGTAATATGTAATTATTTCAAATATGGTTGTGTTTACTATCAAAATGATTATCTGTTTATATCAATTTTAGTTAGGAACATGAATTACGGAAAATTATAAGTTGATTCAATAAGGAACTTATTCTTAAAATTTGATTTATAAACTTCGAAAATGTCTCATTGTAATAAAAACATCATCTCTAAACAAAAAATTTATATACAATATTGCATATTAATTTTTTTTCGCTAAAAGTGACACTGATTGGTTATAATATATTTAATCTCAAAGGCCTTAGCTTATTATACAAACAAAGGAAGCCAGGGTGATAACTTTTCACAAATACAAATAACAAGGTGATTTGTTAATAATCAATGTTTACAAAGTAAATGGAATATTTCACAGCTTTTGGCACTTTTCTGTATAAAAACTTGGTAGATTTTTCTATGGTCATCATTGATTTTGTACTCTTTGTAATATTGATATTTCATTATTTTTTTAACATTTAACAGTTTTATTGTATATAACATTGTGGTGTGTGTAAATCTTAGTGTAACAAAATATCATTATGATGATAGATCTTGCCTTATTTATAATTGTTGCACTAGTTGATATTTCTTTAGTAAACAAATGTAACAAAATATACTCAACAAAGCATAAAATATAAATCTAAAAATTTAAATTTAAAATACATTATTTATAAATTATCTGTTTGAAATTATATCAGGCTAGATTTTGTTGATAAGTAAATTTATATTTTTTCTTAAAATTTTACCCGCAAACAATGTTTTCTTGATTCAATAATTTCTTTATTAATTTTGTGTGCATATTTAATGCCTTTTACATATATATTAACATTGGTCAATAAAATAAAATAGTTCTGCTCATTCTTCTATATTTAATTAAGTACCTAATAGGTCGGGATATCTCATCGACCAAGTTGAACTCGGTATACCTTTTCGCTGCCAAGCTAGTTGTTAATAAATTGTTACTTAGGTTTGCCGTCCAAAAGTAAGTTTTAATAAAATGAAGTTCAGGTGTGCAGTAATACAATAACGAAGGCCGTAGGCTTGATTGATTAATTACAAACATCCGAGATTGAGTGCGGTGCTCAAGTAAAGAAAATGCCTAATATACGGTAGGGGCAATAAGAGTGGCAAGAACATTGTTGTGACATAATGCGCTACTAGCTTCTTTGCTTAAATAGGGAAACCTCCAACAGAGTTAGAATTGATTTTTAAGATTTACCTTTTTCTTCCAGTCTTTTCAGACAGTCAAATTGATACCCTGTTGCAAAAATCAAGGTCGGTATGGTTCCAAATTCCAGTTTTTCAATAGTCTGCATGGATTGTGAAATGGCCTGCCGTAATTCCTCAACAAATCGTTTAACAATCGGCAAATTGGATGCAATGAAGACATTAGCAGACCATTCCTTGAAATAGAATAGTAAAAAAAGTCTGAAAAACAAAGAAAGAATAAATCTCTCAATCAAATTTAAATTAACATTCTTATTGAGAAGTAAACTTTGAAATTACTTAATAAGTAATACGTTTGTTAGTTTGTACGAGAAATATACATTTACGTGTGCTTACGTGCGTATGTGTGTGTGTGTGTGTATAGGGGGTGCGCGACAATGAAAAAAAATTATTGTCACCATTTTGAGTTTTTGTTTTATTTTCTGCAAAGCCTTATCGTTTATCGATTTTTGATGATCTGCGGAAGTCCTGAACATAATAAAATTATCTAATTTTCCACTGAATTCCAATTTTAGGCCCGAAAAGTCCATCAATACTATCTCTGCAAACTGTTTCTCCTCGGATATATTTTGAATCTGATCAAGCATTCCATCTTCGAAGCCATCTACGTAAAAGTAAATGACAATTACTTCTTCTTGACTTTTGACATTGTCTGCGAAGAAAATTAAATCATGTCTAAGAAATTGTTATTTTAACAGACAGATTAAAAAACACAAATATTGTAAAATATTGTAATTTAAAAAAAGTATCCATTCGTGTATGAAAGAAAAGTCAAAGGGTGATTGGTCCATGTTTTACTTTAAGTAAAAATTGTATTAAATAATTGTCACAGGTTGTGAGAAATGAGCTGCCGGACAGAATTAAAACAAGGGACCAATGTATTACTAAATCATCCGGTGTTACGAAGCAGAGAGACCGCCATAGAATAATCACCCCTGCCAATATTCTTAAAAATATAAGGTTGTTGAACTTGAATCCCTCATGTACGTACTCAATCAAACCGAGTCTGCAATTTTCATGCCATTTTATTGTGATAAATGCTTCCAAGAGATCACAGATTTTGATAACGGTAAAGGAAATCGAGGTCAATAATTTACGAGTTTATACATGAGTCGTTTTATTGATATTGATATCTTTTTGCATAGGGCAAACGATTGATGTACGGACAAAACGAATTGGGGTCTTACTTTACAATCTCTGAAACAGCTCATTTATCATTATAGTTGTTCATGTGCTAATAAGTCATTTCTATTACATGTTTACTGTAACTTCATAGTAAAGTAGTCAATAGACTAAGACTGTAGAGTAACTATGCTTTAAATTGAATGGCCCCCGGTCAAGAAAACTAGGTAAGACAAAGGTCTACACCATGACTACGACGTGGACCAGTGGAAATGTCAAAGTTACATAAATGTCAAAAAAAGTGTACTGATATGTTGCTTTTAACACTGCAATTGTAAAAAATCAGTTTGATATCAATTTAATAGGGGGTTAATATTCTATTCCTTTTCTGAGGGTAGGGACATTTTCTCCAAGGAAGTATGCGTATTTCATAGCATGGTTGTCAATTATTATAAAATAATGATCGGGAAACATAATTCTGTGGGGGTCTTTTTACATCGTTACATCAGCCGCATACACATTTTTGCACCAATAAGTGAAAAGTCTACACCAATTCATAATGAGATTTTTGCCACAACCATTCAGAATATGTAAATTCATCTTTGTTGTTAATTTTCATGTTTTATGATAGTGTGCCCTTTTATTTTTTTTATATTCTTTTCGGCAAAAATGTAATTAAGTTACAATTGTTTTTCATGATTAGGTATAACAAAATAAAACTGTCTATTTCTTTATCTAAAAAATCGTTCCTCTTTATAAAAACATTTTTATTAATGTCAAGTGAATACCTTGATCAAGTCTTCGTTTAATGTTTATCAAATTTTCTTTAATGCGTATTGAAGTGTGGCGTACAACTGCAATGATTGGTAAAGTATTCCTTTCTTCAATAGGCTTGTTTAAATCTTGGAACTGAAAGTCGGTAAGATGATGTGTAAGGGCTTCAATAAATCGTCTCGTTGTTTTTCCGCCCTCGGTATCATATACTAGAACCTAAAGAAAAATATAAGGAATATGCTATAATATTAGTATTAATGATTTTTCACCCTTTTATAACGTTTTATTGGAATTTATATCCCAAACTTAGGCAAGTTTTGTATTGCATAGAACCGTCTATATTCGACCAGTCAACCTGTAGGGAATATTCCTTACGAATTTATAAAACAACACACTTTCTGTTTAATTAAAAAGTGGGATTTCTTCATAAATTGCAGAAGTGAATATAAATCTAAATAAACGACTTGATTATCCAATGAAAAAAAACGTTACAAACGTTAATATTATAAGTTAGTATAAGTAATTAGTAATAATGCAAATAAATTTCTCGAATTATGATTGGCTGAAAAAAAATTATCACATAAACCACGGGGCAGGAGGGTATTAATCCATTTAATTAAATCGATATTATATTGGTATAATAGCAATTACATGACGTCATTTACATTACATACTATCGTAGCGTTTAAGCGCACTTATGTTAGCGTTTAACTAAATGAACTGTAAGCCGTCTGGATATCTGAAAAATAAGATATTATAGTCGTGTTGATGCAATACAAAATGAATTGTACTCGTATAATAAAACAATATTTAACTCGCATAATGTGATTAAATTAAACTCGTTCAATTAATAATTATACTATTAAGCACTCATTTAATGACCTTTTTACGATGCTCTTTACACCGTGAAGAACTGACGCGCACACAAATAATATGGTTGTGCATCAAATTTATATTTCGATTCGCTCTGTATGACAAACCTCTCGATTCAAAAGTCATTATTTTAAAAGCAACACCGCTATGATGACAAAAGAATCCGTAATTCATTTCTTAAAGGACCAAAATATATAATTCCTTCCGATATTGATTTTAATGCTTGTCGAAGTCACATAGCTGAATCGATCGAGGACTTTTCAGTAAAATGGTGTCGTCGCGAAAATGCTGATATTAATGCACTTATTCATAGAAACATAATATATTTCAGAAAGGATATATTAGCGTTCCACTCTAAATTTGTTTTAGTTCCGGCTGACAAGTCGGCCAATAACATAATCATTGTATGACGTATTCATTATATAAACGTTTTACAAAATGAACTCAACAGCACCAATACTTATTCTAAAACCGTTCTTTCTGAAAGAGATATTTTTAACAGTCATATTTCTAGTATTTCTAACTTTAAAGTACGTGTTGATGAGAAAGAGCTTAAACTTCCTATCATGTACTGGATTCCAAAATTACATAAACATCCATATAAAGCCCGCTTTATTGTTAATTCTTTATCTTGTACTACCAGTAATCTTTTTATTTTATTGACTTCTTGTCTAACTGCCATCAAGACACATGTAATTAGATACTGTGAAACAGTTTATGAAAATACGGGTAAAAATCTTTTTTTGTTTATTAAAAATTCAACAGAAATTTTAGATAAGTTTAAAGTTAAGAATTATCAAGCTTCATCTGTAAGAACTTACGATTTCTCTACCTTATATACAACATTGCTGCAAAATCTTATAAATGATAAATAAGTATCTTTAATTCAAAAAACATTTGCAAGAGAACAGGACACGTTTCTTGCTTGCAATTCAAAAAAGGCTTTCTTTACCAATGTAATCATTAAACAATATACAATGTGGACCTGTGACGAAGTTTGTAAAGCACTTTCTTTTTTATTAGACAACATTTTGGTCAGGTTTGGTAATACAGTTTTCAAACAGGTAATAGGCATTCCAATGGGAACTAATTGTGCCCCCCCCCCCCCCCCCCCCTGATAGCTGATTTATTACTTTATTGCTATGAGAGGGATTTTATGTTAAGTCTTTCCCCTACTTCGCATCAGGAAATTATACATGCATTTAACAACACTTCCCGCTACCTAGATGATATTTTTAACATAAATAATCCTAATTTCGATCAATTGGTTTCTAAATTATATCCCAGTGAACTTAAATTGAATAAAACTAACTCTTCAGACTTTATTACATCTTTTTTAGATTTGAACATTTCTATCATTAACAATAATATAGTAACTAAAATCTACGATAAAATAGATGATTTTGATTTTAATATTGTTAACTACCCACATTTAGATGGAGATGTACCTCATGCTACATCATATGGGGTGTATTTTTCTCAATTAATAATATTTGCTAGGGCGTGCAGTCGTGTTGATGATTTTAATGAACGCAATTTATTTATTACTAACAAACTTCTTTAACAAGGTTATCGCTATCATAAATTGCGTAAATACGTTACGCTTTCCTCTTTTGATTACATCTGACGGACAAAGTGGGAGACTCTATGATGGACAGTTCTTAAAGCTATTTGGGACTGAATTGTCTTAATGTTTGTCTTGTGCCTTGCTTCGTCATTAGGCTGTAACTTTTTCTACATTTTTACCTAATTTTGTATGTGTTTTATTTATTTCGTCTAATGTAACCATGACCATTGTTAGAATTTCACTTGGCGGGGATTAATTTTATATACATTTTTGCGTCATTAAGGAACATATTGGGGCTAAGAGTGAGGTTTGGCGCGCCTAAAACCGGTTTAAACTCCCCAGTGGTTTAACTTCCTCTGACCGTTCCAAGGCGGTACCCCTTTGTGTTCCTTCACGTGTTTTTATTGTCTGTATTGATACTTGTTTTTTGATGTTTACATGTTTTGTGATGTCTGCCTTGTTGGATTGTCGTTGACGGTAGATATTTTCTCCCCCCCCCCTTCCACTTTTAACCCCCCCCTCCCTACCTTTTAACCTGTACAGCCCTTTTCCCTTTAATTCCTTTATGGGCCTGTTTTTATTTATATTATTTCACATTACATGTCCCGCTCCTTTCGCCCTTGTGTCCACTCCAGGTACTTGTTTGGTGTCTTCTGTGTGTCCTGCTTGGGTGTGCCCGGGGGCGGCGTCCTGTGAACGTTGCCTTTGCCTTGTTGATCTTTATTCTTGTTATTTGATGTTTTTGCGAAGTTTTCGCGTAGACGTTGATCGGCTGGCGTCATATTGGCACCTTTTTCCCGCGCTTGTTTAGAAACAGTTTTTAAGTACTTGGCTTTCTTACGAACTTCTCGTAGATAACATTTTGTGTTTTAATAAATTCTTCATGGGCTATAATTTAACCTTCCTTGCATACATATCACCCTCGGCTACATGTAATTTATATCTAATTCTGGCTATATTCTCAATATCTCGTCAGCAACTTGAATAACTAATAGTATATTTGCATATTCAATTGCTGAGCAAAAGAGTCTAGTTCTTGCGTTTTATAAAATTCTCTTTATTATACAAGTAACCAAATTCCTAATAATAAACCTTAAAAATGTACATTTTTGTTGTAAGCCTTTGCTTTTATAACAAACTAAATATTTTTACATATTCATGTAGCTCTAACTAAATCTCTACCACATCCTGTCATTTGCTGTCTGCTTTTAGTTTAGATATATTAATCTTAGACGGGTTGTAAGACGTACGAACAGCTTAATGCAACTTATTGAGTTTTTTTCAATTAAGTTGTATTTGATGTTGATTTTAATGTTGTTACTTTAAATGAGGATTGATTGCACATATGTTGGGAAAAGTATATCCTCTTTGATAAGACATAGTTTAATAATAAATACAAATGTATCTTAAATTCGAATTCGAATTAAATATAATAACTTCAGTTTAACTCAATATTTAGTATTTAACAAAAAAAGCAACAAAAACCAAACAAACGTTTGGGCTAAATCTAAATCTTCAACTCGTTCTCGCTTACGGTCTCTGCACCGTTGTCAACTTAGCTACTGACATCACAACTACCAAACCACTGACGATAAACACGGGAATGTATGTAGGGTTATAAGCACCGTTGTAGATGATAATTATGTCTGATAAGCAAGGGTTACGCCTGTTTGGTATAGACTTGGATATCTAGCTTGAGAGTAACTGTATTCGGCGGTAGCACTGCTATACCGAGTTGTTTCTAACAGTTACCTAAGAGCTAGATATCCCCGTCTATGTTGATAGCTGGTGTATGATTCCTTTTCTGACATATAGCATATGAAATATATTTCTAAAAATCTAAAAAAAAAAGAAAAAACTTTTGGTTCCAATCACCTTTTTGCAGAAGTATATTTACAGATGATGTCAGATCAAATAACAATTTACTATTCCGTTAGTGATAAGAGGAAAGGTATCTGCTGTTTCAGAACGTCCTTTGAAGGTGAGTTGTTCATTATTTAATTATTGTATATAGGGAACCTACCTTTAATTCTTTTTTTATATCTGTCAAACAAAACAAACGTAAATCATCATTCAAGTATTTATTTACAAAATTAAATACAATGTTTTAAGCAGCCTTCAGCTTTTATTTTCTGTTGGAAAAACAATTGTGTTGTTTTAAACTAAATATTTCAAATATTTTATCTTGGGAAAGTGTATCATTCCACTATAATCCTTTAACACAACGTTCCGATAGCTATTTATAACGAAAGTATTGGGAAACGAATCGTCAGCTTAACTAACCAACATATAGATAACGGACCGGTAGGTTAGATATATCGAGGGTTTCCTTATTGTTAACGTATTTTATCGTCGGCAAGTTTCATTTCCACTTTAATTCTTTTGATTAGACAACTGTAATTAAAACATTATCTAAAAATAACATATTTATCGTTTAGAAAAGTAGAAGGCCGCTTAAAGCTGTCATTTTTTTCTATAATAGACGCCATGAAAATAAATCATTGTATCATTAGTCTAGCGGTGAACTATATGTTTGACATTTTGCGTCATATTAACTTTGACTTTTATTGATTAATCATTTTCTCCAGTAAGTTTCATTATTGGTTTGAATGATAACAATAATTAATACAGGGTCGTTCAATGTATTTGACGTTATAGTGGCATTTTGATAGGTATATATTCAGCCACTTGTTTAAAGTTACATTAAATAAATTTGTAAAAATATTTTGCCGTCGGCCTAATCAAGCATTCTACTGTTTTATTAACCTTTTTTAAC